GAGACACTCAACGCCCTTCCTGTAACTCTCTTGTAGCCACCGTATCCAGGTATGGAGCAGCCTCCACACCACCCTTACTATCAGCACCACGCACCTCCACCTCAAGCTCACCCTCCGTACTCAGGACATCATCCCGTGCCACATGAAGCAAGATACAGAGACAAACGAGTAGTAAGTGTCTGCAGAGACAGAGGGGGACACGAGTCTGCATGCCAGAGCAGGGACGGGAGGAATTTGGGGTACAGGTCTAGCCTAACCTGAGATTTATTGACTCGGATAAACTGCATTTTGAAGAGCTGTATTAGTTTTCCTCGGAAAGATCAGGTTTTTAGATGGATGAGAGATTTCCAATGTCTTTGGTGTGCATTCCTTTGTTCTGAGACACTCAACGCCCTTCCTGTAACTCTCTTGTAGCCACCGTATCCAGGTATGGAGCAGCCTCCACACCACCCTTACTATCAGCACCACGCACCTCCACCTCAAGCTCACCCTCCGTACTCAGGACATCATCCCGTGCCACATGAAGCAAGATACAGAGACAAACGAGTAGTAAGTGTCCACAGAGACAGAGGGGGACACGAGTCTGCACGCCAGAGCAGCAACGGGAGGAATTTGGGGTACAGGTCTAGCCTAACCTGAGATTTATTGACTTGGATAAACTGCATTTTGAAGAGCTGTATTAGTTTTCCTTGGAAAGATCAGTTTTTTAGATGGATGAGAGATTTCCAATATCTTTGGAAAGCCTCTTCCAGGTGACGTAGAAGTGCAAAATTCCCACAACATGCTCTGAGGTGTGTGCTTAAAATGGCTTCCATTTGTCTACCTCTGAACTTTGGAAGCTGAAGCCCAGTTTGAATAAGAACATGCCCATAATGTTGCTTGTGCTCGTGTACGGCAAATTCCTTTATCAGCAGAAAGGTTCGTGGTTTATGACTTCTCACAGACGCATCAAAAAACAGGGCAAATTGGTCAATAATTTCTGGTAGCTGGCTTTGAAGGCTGCTTCAAGCTTTCAGGTCTCTTGCTGGTAGCTGGCATTTGAACCCCAGCTTTTGCAGCAAGGAGGCACAGACATGGTGCTGTCCTGAAGATGAAAGAAGCAGCTTGTGCTTATGGATGCCGGCCATAATGTCTTGGGTTTTTTTGGTGTTTTGTTGTTTTTGTTTTTTTTTTTTAATACTGGGCTTTTCCCAAGAGTTCTGGCCAATTGTATGGATAAGGGGAGGGAGGGGGATTTTAATCTGGGAATGACAATGAAAATAAACAGAGCTGTCTTTTCATCCCAGCACGACTATGACATGAGAGTAGACGACTTTCTTCGCCGCACGCAAGCAGTTGTCAGCGGTCGGAGAAGCAGGCCTCGGGAGAGGGACCGGGAGCGCGAACGGGACCGTCCTAGAGATAACAGAAGAGACAGAGAACGTGACAGAGGCCGTGATCGGGAGAGGGAGAGAGAGAGGATTTGTGATCGGGACAGAGACAGAGGTGAAAGAGGTAGATACCGAAGATAATCTATCTGGAACCAGTGCTCACTTGAAACAAAAAAAGCTTGTATTTTTTTGTGTGTTTACAAGTAGTACATCTTATTTTCAGCTGTCTACTTAAAAGTTCGTTGTGTAGAAGGATTTATAATGATCCTCTCTATTCCAAGCATGCAGTGAACTATGAACTGGAAAACCTCAAATCGGCCAAAAATAAAATACGCAAAGCTCACACTCAACTTGGCGTTTCTGTTGGAGCAGAACGGGAAACAGCTAAGAATGTAGATATTGATTCATTCTCAATAAGTGTTCATCTACTTAGTGACTTCATTCTAGGTTTTTGAATACTGATGGATAACTCCCTTTTTTTTTTTTTTGCTTTGTTGTTTTCTTCCTGTAGTTTCACACAGTTCAATGGGAGAATGCTGCTATCAAGTATGCAAATATTGAAGTATGATTATTTTTTTTGACCGTATGGCAGTGTTGTAGCAGCCTTTTTTTCTTCCCCTCCCCTTTCCTCCTCCCTTTTTTTAACCCTATCTGTAAAGTCAAGTGTTTTTTCAGTCTTCAGTAATGAAAGCAATATTAAGACACTATTGATATCTAATTTTTAACCTTTTTTAAAAAAATCTTCCCGTGGTCAGTAACATTTTGGTCAATTCTCTTGTCTAGTCTCCTTCCAAAATGTACACATTGCTTGGAATGTTCACGACCTGCGTGTGTGGAACCAGAAAATATTGCTGTATTCTACATTGCTACCATTTTTTTTATAAAAATAAATTGGTAACTATTGAAATGATTAAAACGTCAGATGGGGTTTCTTGGTCTTCTGAGCTTGCCAGCTTCAATAGAGTCTGGCAGTTCTAGGAAATTATTTGTGTTCAAAAATAGTTTAAAGGTTCTTGTGGTAGGTGAAATTGATGCAAAACCTGAATTTAGGAGGAGGACAGCTAAAATAAAAGGTAATTGCTTTTCTCCTTCCACGGTGCAGTAGTCAACTTACAGCTCCTGCAGCTAATCAGAGTTTTTAAGGCCCTACCTGTTGAACTTAATCAAATGATCTTTGAGCTATTGAGATAGGCTGTCCTCAGCCATAATCATACCTGTCTCCCAGGAGTGTGTTGGTCCTGCAAGATCCAGACTCTCACCATGTTGTCTTTGTAGTGATTACTGCATCACTTGCTATTTCTCTTAAATAGGAAATACTTGAATCTAAATGCCAATGGTAAAACTGTGGAAAAAAAAAAAAAGTAAAACTTGTAGTGGAAGTTTCTCCAGCAAAATTTCCTAGTTCTCAAAACTTGTATGATGAGTACCACTGCTTTGGTGGACTTCTTCATAACCGTTCTTTAGTGTCTTCTTGTGTAACAAAGCCCAGTGGCAGCATGTGCTTCAAATGCCTCCAACTCCCCAGTGCTGAGTGCTGTAGCTGTTTTCATGAACTGCAGTGTAGGACTGGCCACAGTGTGGCAGTTGAGAAAACACGTGATTTTTAGATCAGACAATATGAGCTCTGTATGTTTTAGTCTACAAAGCTGCAGTAAACATCTACATATGCTAAGCAAAATGTTTTAGCTCCAATGTGTGAGTATGTTGGGATTTTTTTAAACGCTGCAAGATGTGGAACATATGGTTGGCTTCCTCAAAACAGTTTACCATGCGCTGAGAGAAGTATGGCTGTTACAGTAGGATTAGATCATCTGTCAAACTGTATCTAATTGGAGAAAGGCATCATAGACCACCTTCATCTTTCATTCAGTCATGTTTATCTTTCCCTGTTTTATATAAAAGATTCTAGAAAGAAAGGAGGGTTTGGTTGGTCTTTTTTTCTTTTTAAATTCAATAGTAGATAAGACACATTTTTTTGAGTAAGTTACAGAAAAGAAACACCTTCTTAAAGTGACTGCAGAGCAGTTTCTTTGTCCAACTTTTCCCAGCAATCTTGTTTCCTGTGTCCTTTGTTAGCCCTACCTGACCAGCGTCTACGCAGTATGCTACGAGGCTTACTGGCCTTCTGGCAACCAAACTGACATCTCAGCAAATCTTCTCTTTGCAGAACCTGGATGATGGGGATTGCTAGTGATCAAGCTTGATGGAGCTGTGCCTGGGGACCCAGTTCTATGAACAGTTACAAGAAAAAACTTGCAGATTTGGGGCATGAATGTCATGATGTTCCACTTTCTGTTCACCATGCATATTTCAATATGCATATTCCTGTGTAGGATCCCATCATGACCATAGGAACAGTGTACCAGAAATTACCATGAGAAGTCTTGTTCTAACCCTCTTTAGTTTGGAAGCAAATTACTTGAGCTTTGGCAAATGTTGTAGCACGAAGAGATTTAAGCAGACATTAAAACTCTTGACAAGGGTAATAAAAAAGTTAATGTAGGGTAGGGAATTTTATTATGTAAACAAATGTATTTTCTCAGCCTGCTCTGTTTGAAAACAATTCCGCAGCATCCAGAATACAACAAATATGAGTTAAAATTGGGGCAGGTTCTTCCTTGAGTAAGCTGGCACAGCAGTGAAATAACCTTACCTAGAGCAAGAGCTCTGAACTAGCATTATTTTACTAGGCTTTCATCAGTGAGTGTACTTTGAACAGAGTGCTGCATGTACTACCCTTCTTATCTGAGCCAAGAACACCCTTAATTTCTCTCCCAACTTTCCAGGCAAGGCAAGTGACTGTTGCACTGTTCCCACACGTAATATTTCTTCTTTGCAAGTTCTGTCTTTAGAGGTTTTCCTGCATTTGTCTGTTAGCATGGCTCAGAGATGTTTGTTACTGACAAAGGGGGTTTCACCCCCCAACTAGTGTTGCAGCTACAGTGATGGCCTGTGCAGCAGACTCCTCTCTTTGTCTGTTAGCATGGCTCAGAGATGTTTGGGGGTTAAGATGCACAAGTTATTGATAAAGGGGGTTTCACTCCCCACTAGTGTTGCAGCTACAATGACTGTAGCTGCAGCAGACTCCTCTGATGGAAAAGAGAAGTAGTTCTCAAAAAAAGTAATTTCTCTGCTGGTCTTAAGACTCTGGTTTCCCCTCAGCTCCCAGTTTTTCACGATCTTGATAGTTAGTGCATTTGTGAAAATGTGATGATATAGGCTTCACCAGCTGCTTGCAGCTCCCAGTTTTTCACGATCTTGGCCATTCAGCTGGGCACTTTTTAGGAGCTTTCCAATCTGGAGACAGCTGTTCTGACAGGAGGAGCATTTTGATTTTGAATCATCAAGCCTGGGTGACATTGCAGGAGAGGACAGAGTTAAGGTAAGGAGACTAGTTGCAGATTGAGGGACCCGCAGTGCCACACGTGGGAAGGCTGAATTTATGAAATGCACTAAAATTAATTTGAAAAGTTAGAGCAGAAAATTACCATTCTAGGGACCGTGTGTGATCAGCTGACAAGATCCCAAGGGATAAAGCAGCTATAATTCAAGCTTATTTAGGCCAGAAGGAATTTGCTGGCTAAGCAAACAGCTCTGCCCCACAGCAGGGTACTTCACGACATGACCAGCTTAAAGCATAACCTAATAATTTTATTCACCAAGGAATGTGCCTGAGTGCCTTGCTGAATCAACCTAGGAGAAGAAAAAGTGCTGATGGGAACAGGATGTCTATTCTTTCTTCTTCTTTGTAATCCTGCCACGTCTCCTACAGCAAAATAAGCAGCACTTGACAAGGATGAAGATTGCAGTGGCTGCGCAGGTGAAGAGGAATGCCAGAACATCCAGGCAGTGGTACTGGTACCAGGTGAGATGGTGAGCAGCTGGTCTCAAGTGCTTTGCTCCTTTGTGACGCATGACAAATTCAATCCAGAAGACAGCTCTGTCCAGAGGCTTAACTGGCTGGTCGTGGTGTATCTTAGATAACCTTAGAGCGTTTTCCTTATAGCTGGGGGAAGAAAGAGGAAACCAAGATTTGTCACTGATTCCTGAAACAACCCGTTCAGCACTCGGGAGTCCTCTTGAGGAAATAGACAGCCCTGCTTTTACTTTCATCAGTGTTACTTAAATATGTTTGAAACTGGCCCAGTTCACCCCTATTTGCGTTGAGGAAATAGACAGCCCTGCTTTTACTTTCATCAGTGTTACTTAAATATGTTTGAAACTGGCCCAGTTGACCCCTATCTACATAAAATTGGGTTATGAACAGTAATAGAGAAAGCCAGTCTTTTGCAAAGAAAAGTTATTAAACATTATTCCAGTTATTACTCCTTTAAGAAAACAATGTGGAAACATTTGCAGCGTTTTCTGTTCCAATATAATATAGCATCCTGATTTGGGCTGGAATAAAGTTAATTTTCTTTGCAGTAGCTGGTGTGGGGTTCTGTTTTGGGTTTGTGCTGGAAACTGTTGATTAAATATAGGGATGTTTTCCTCACTGCTGTGCAGTGCTCATAGAGTGTCAGGGCCTTTTTTGCTTCTCACACCGCCCAGCCAATGGGGCCTTTTTTGCTTCTCACACCGCCCTGCCAGTGAGCAGGCTGGGGGTGCAGAAGTTGGGAGGGGACACAGTGATGACAGCTGACCCCAGATGACCAAAGGGATATTCCATGCCATGTGACATCATGTCTAGCAATAAACCAAAGGAGGAGGTTGGCAGGGGGGCCACGTGCCTCAGATTTCATCCAGGTTGTTATAGACCACCCCCACCATGGCTAATTCCCGGGGCCACGTGCCTCAGATTTCATCCAGGTTTTTGTGTGCCTGGTCATCATTCAGGTTGTTATAGACCACCTCCACCATGGCTAATTCCTTGAGATATTGGATTACTTCCATCAGTTTGCTTTGGGAATTTGCATGTTCTTCCTTGAAGGGATACCTGCCTTTTTTCCACTCTCTTTGTTGATGGCTTTATTCTTACCAAGGCGTCTCAGCTTGGTAAATAAGCTGCCAGGCTTATTTACCCTCTGATAGGTACAGCAGCCTAAGGATATTGGTAACTAGGGGTAGAAGAAAGAATTGTTGTGGCTACACACAGAGTAGACACAATAAAATTTAGAAGTGTCAGCCTGAGCCTCCAGAGTCTGGATTTATACTAGCAGAGAACAAGGAAGAGAGAGAGAGAGAGCAGAAAACTGTCTCAGGAGCTCCGCTGAGCTTTCCAAGAACTACTTTTCTCAAAGTGATAATAAATTGTAGTATAAGGAAAATCAAATATCTCGTCTCTCCTTTCTGAGAAATGCTGATTCTCAGAAATGAAAGGCGGTTTTCATCTGAAACCCAAACTCCAGCTGCTCAGTATTTTTGGTTGCCAGAAGAGCCATCAGAATTTCTCCCATCAGCAGACAGAGATTTCAATCCTGCTGTAAGGCAAGAAACAAAACTTACGTGGAATTGTTAATGACCGTATTCAGTGCGTCAACTATGTCCTGCGTCTTCAGCGTGCTGAAATCCAGCCCAACTGCAGCTCCCTTTGCCTTCATGTGAGCAATGTTGTCATACTGGTCAGCAAACAGGGGAATCCCAACCATGGGGATCCCATGGTAGATGGCTTCATAGATCCCATTGGTCCCACCATGAGTCATAAAGGCCTTCGTCAAGGGATGGCCTGGAACAGGGAAGGAGAGGCATGTGTTAGAGCAGCTGGGGCAGACTGTGTTCATTGGGATGTGAGCACCACAAACTACCCATCCATATGCACTGCTGGAGAAGGGAACAGCCCTGACCTCTGGATCACCAACAGAGCTTGTATGCTTATTGTTTGCATATTCATATTTATTTTAATGCAAGGTATGAATTGGCGATTGTTTGCATATTCATATTTATTTTAATGCGAGGTGTGATTGGCATATTCCTCTGGAGTACCTCCAGCCCTGGATGTTAACTGCAGAGACCAAATCCAACCCCAGGGTATGTCTGCTTTGATGTTTCCTCCTGCCTACAGGTGGTTCTTAGCTCTTCCGGAAAATTGCCACCGAGCTCTGTAAATCAGAGGCATTGGCTTTAGAGATTCATCTTTGTAGCCAAGCTCAAGTCATTACCTTTTGAGCTACTGCTCTCTGCTCCCTTCAGAGACTGGCTGTATCTTTCATGGTTCTTCTACAGCCTTAAGGTCAAAACCAGGCTAGAAAATCAAGGCTCCAAGAGCAAATCTCTGCTGCTTGAACTATGAAACTACTTGTAGTCACAAGTGTTATGTGGTTCTTTTGCCTGAATAAGCCATTATAGTGGAAAAACAAAGAAGGAAACAGCTTTTTCCAGGGGCATAATGCATCCCAGGTAGAGTCAGTCTCACCAAGCAGATCATTTTGGGGTATCCAGTCGTAAATCCTGGTGTTGGAGCCCAGAGTTTCTGGTTTTTTCCCTTTGTACCGCCAGATGACCTTGAGCGAAGGAAGAATAAGATAAGCACAGTGCATGTGATGTGCTCTTCTGTATCGTTACCTGTGATGTAGGGCTTTATGCCTACCAAAGGTATGGATATTCCATACCATATGACATCATGCTCAGCAATAAAACTAAGGTTGGGGGGGGGGGTCACGTGCACCCCTTTTTAAGAACACGTTTATACTTTTCCCCAGTAATTTAAATAGCTTTGGCTCCTGTTTAGCTCTTTGGTTAGTTATTACGTGCTTATTATAAGAATCACCTTTTGAGTGATTTTGATGTTTTGGCCTGTGGCCACACCTCTGTGTCATTTGATTCAGAGAAGGGGAAGCGCCAGAACTCCCCGGCTGTGGCACATCCAGCAGAGGTGCAGGTGAAAACCAGGCCAGTCCAAACGTAGAAGACTTACTGAAGGTAGCAGGAGGAGGACAAAAACCAAGGCAAGTTGGTTTAGATTCAAAAGGAAGTTCACCTTTTGTGGAAGCTGGCTGAGGGCTTTGGCAATCACGTTGCTTTTTTCATCAGTTAGGTTGTAGACCATCGACCCCAGAGAGAATACCACGATGCCGTGTTCCCCTGAGCTCTGAACAAATTCTTCCATTTCCTAGGGGAGACAGAAGACATGCTAAGAGTAGGTGTCATCTGGAGATTGCACAGAATAAACAGGAGGAGCTAGAGATGCGAGCGTGCCTGCAGGGCTGTGATCTTGGCATCACAGAGACATGGTGGGATGGATCGTATGACTAGAGTGTTGGGATGGAAGGATACGGGATGTTTAGGAAGGACAGGCAGGGGAGTTGAGGAGGGAGTGTTGCCCTGTGTCAATGACCAGCTGGAGTGCGTGGAGCTCCACCTGGGGATGGAAGAGGAGCCAACTGAGAGTTCATGTATTGGGAATAAAGAGAGGGCAGGGAGAGGTGGGGGTCTTCTACAGAGCAGATTAGGCTCTCTGTAGACAGATAGGAGCAGCCTCATGTTTGCAAGCCTTAGTCCTCGTGGAGGTCCTCATGGAGTCTCCTTCAATGGTATAATGGGCAGCAAGTCTGTCTCTTAGAATTAAATCTTACAGTTAAGTGCTCTGAGGTAGCACCTATTTTTCCTAACACAAGCGCTGTATTCCCTCCCGCTGAACACAGCTATCCTCTTTTCAGACAGCAGGCTCTGAGCCCAGAGCTCAGTTTGCACAATACGGGCAGATTGCTAAATAGCTCTGTGCTCCCCACCGGTGGGAGAGCATCTCCTTGAAGAGGGAGCTTTCTCAGGGCATGGCTTGCACGGGCCATGAGGGAGAGGAGCAGTTTTTGTTCTGCTGGGCAATCCCACCCATGGCAGGGACAAAGTCGGGGTACCTTTGGTAACGGCTTGGCAGGCTGGCAGTGGAGTCCTCCAACAAACTCAAAGTTGGGCAGGAAAGGGCGTGGAAATTCAAAGTCCCAGTACGTTCTGATTAACCATATCTCCGCTTTCCCCATCGTCTCACACAGGGTTGTGGGCCTTCCTGTGGACAAGGTACAAGGGGTTTTACAACACACGGATGGCTTGCCTTGCTCTAGATTGCAAAACAGGAGCCTTACCTTTGTCTTTTGGCACTCCCAGTCAGGGTAGTCTATCCAATCGTGCATGAAATGAAAACATGGACAAATTCAGACCTATTCCTTGCCCAGTCCTGTTGCCACCAACAAGGTAATACCATCTTTAAACATGTTTTGAACCTTCGGGTTGAATTTAGAGCAGTACAGGAGTAAGTGCAAAGCATTTAGTTTCTGTGATACAGAAGTGCAGTTCTTGTACCCCCAAAAGACATCATTACCTGTGCTTGTAATAAAAACACACTTTGAGGAAGAGAAAAAACACAGAAAATTTCAATCTAAATAAAAATAAAAAAAGGAATCACAAAGCGATGAGCACCAGTCAGGGCAGAGGAAAGATTTTGTAAACAAAGTTCTGTGGCATTTTTCAAACAGGGACTGGGTCAGCCTCTTCTGACACACAGTGGGAAAATTTGGCCAAATCCATAGATGCTCTGAATGTCATTTAATGCAAAATTAAATGTCTCTAGAAATCCACCTATAGAAAAAAATGCAGTGGGTAAAACCGTGTTATAGATTCCCATTTGGAAAAATACATATTCTCAGGTACATGCTGCAAGTTGTCTTCGCAGTATTTTCCCCACAAAGTGGGACTGGGGAGTAAAAAGGTTGGAAGTGTTGGTAAATGATTGTCCAAAGCCAGCCAATGCAAGCAGTAACCAAGCAAAAGAAGCAGCAGTATAAAAATTATCTGTAGGGCATCTTCTTATACTGCTGCATCAGCATTATGATTTGCACCAGTAATTTTTACTTAATAAGAAATACTCTTTACTAAATAATAACTTTACTAAATTATAGCTAAATAATAATAATACTCTTTACTAAAATAAATAAAGTCAGTTACAAAGTTACTAGAGTGAAAATTAAGCCTGTGTTACCAGTAGAGGGATATAAAGGTGTAATTACGTCTCACGTGGTATTAAAAAAATAAATCCAGGGAAAAGGGAGTGGTTTGCAGAGCACAGAGGTGTCCTTGGGAAATGCAGGAAGAGATTGGAGGACAGCAGGATAGATGTCCTTGCTGCTCACTCGTTATCTGCTTAAACACAGTTATTCTGTATAAAATTCAAAGTCCATTGAGCTGAAAGGTCTCTTTAATAGACTTTGAATCAAGCCTGGATCGTACTTGGTTGGAACAAAAATTTCAGGCGCATATGCAGTTGTAGTAGATTATTTCAAACTCTGAATGGTGGAGGAAGGGGAAAGGTGAGAGTTCTTAGCGTTAATTACTGGAGAATATAAACTCAGCATCCTGTACTACACAGCCTTGCAAGCTGATACCTCCAGATGATGTGTGTAGTGTGAATGAGGGGTGCTTTTTTGCTCTGCAGCTGCCCAGAGACAGCCACTATTTCTAGTCACAACAGGTTTATCTCCATCTCTGTGTTGTCCATGGAGCTGTCTCCAGTGCCTTACATGTAATTAAGGAATGATTTTGCCCTCCAGCCTTTATCTGCTACCATCCTAATTGTAGAAGGGCCTGTCATCAAGATGAAGAGGCAACAACTGTCCTCTGATAGCACTAAAATGGGCGTACAGCTCACTGCAAGTGCTCACCAGCAGGTATCATCATTAACAAAAATTAGAACTATGTGCTCTAAAGGTCCTCAAGAGGAACTAGAGCAAAACTGCACTAGTGTCTGTTAGACAAGACCAAATCCAAAAGGGAAAGCACAGCCTCCATGTGACCAAACCAGGATTACCATCTCTGCTGGCCATTGAGGAAGAGTATTTTGAGACAACAGCATTGAGCTCCCAAAACGTTCAAAAGGTACAACCTATGCAAGAGGAGAAACCACTCAACACCTGCCTTACCTAGGACATTACTGTAGTACCCATCCAATTCATCTTGCCAAAACTTCAAGAAAAATGAATCCATGTAAAGGTAAAAGAGGAAGTTCTGTAGTCTTTCCACAAAGGACATGCGGTCTGTCAGCTCCACTGTGCTAGCAGGCACGTAAGAAGGTGGGGATGGGAGCCCACCACAAAGCCGCTCTGCCACGTTCCCAGCAGAGAAGCGGATGCTGTAGACAAAGGGGATTTCAAGGATTTCTGCTACAAGCTCACCACCTATAGCCAGGGGGTCAGCCATCAGAACATCAAACCTGGCCTGCTGCAGCTTTGCTATCAGCTTAGGATTCATCACCAAGGTGTCTCAGGTC